GGCACTCTGTGACACTGTCATGTCAAAACAGGCAATAGCCTTCCTCAAACTGTGGCCATTACATTTTTAACACACCGTCTGTCTAAATCATAATTGTGTTTCGTATTATTAAGAGTTCCCTTAATTAGAAGTAAAACCCCCCACAAACAAGAAAAACAGCCACAGACCAAAATGTTATCAGGTGTGTTTACATAGTTCTGGTGATGTATTTATTTAAAACTGACACATATGCAGTGTAAAATAACAGTAATATTAATACCTGAATAAGATCTATAATGACCAGATTAACATGTACTACCATTTGTAGATAGTCTCCAGTATGCAGTGGTTGTTTTTGCCTTTGAGAGCAATTGAAAATGTACAGTGGAAAGCTTCTGCTCTGAGCAGCACGTTAGTTAGCATGAAGGTAAATCACTCACACAGCTGTATGCTACACTCCAAAGGACTCTTTCATCACATTTTTAAAAAATTATTTTCTCATATAGCTCCTGCATTGTTTACGCACTTTGGTTTACTTCTGACACTGTAGAATTCAGTTAAGCTGTGTGTATTTTAGATTCAGTCCATCAAATACAGTATAAGGCATAAATATTCAAAAGGCATTTCTCTCAGCATCATGCTAGTGAAATAGATAGTTTTTCTGTAATTTAATCTCATTCTCAAAGAGTAACAGAATAGCCTATCTCCTACATGTCAGGAAATATATGCTTTTTGACTTTAAATGTCTTATTTTACGCCTGAATCCCCCTCTGCTTATCACACTTTGCCTTCTTAGCATTATACACACCAAAGCTGACTGAAACTCAAAATGGAAAAAGATGACAATGCAATTTACACCAAGTCATCCATGCCAGATTAGCCTATTAAGTACAGAAGTCAAAAAAAGGACGCGGGAAGGAGATCAGAATGAGAACAGTGAGGCGGTGAAGCACAGACAGCACCTCAGAGACCTGACACACAAAGAAGAATCTTAGTGCCTGAGTGGTGTCTTGATGTCTCTCTGTATGTTAATTCCATGCTACTCTATGGCAGACATAAAAACAGGTTATTGAACCGACAGAGAAACGGTCAACATTCTCCTCCCAGAGCAGCAGAGGATCAGGAACAGAGCTGGGCAGGAAACACAGATGAGCACTGAGCCAGCCAAGCTCCTGCAGACATGGGGCGAGGTTTCGTCCCTCCCTAACCTACAACAGACGGCTGCAGGCGAGCCAAGTGCATCATCTCAACGGGAGACCCTTGCTTGCATCACCTCTGTCTATTTTTAGAACAACTGCACACACCTTTATTCATCTTTCAAGCTTCCTCTGTAGGCCTACTCTTTAAGTGTTATCTCAAGTGCAAACTGTTGCAGGATTGTTTCTATATTTTGATCCAGGAGCTTTATCATACAGTAACTGGGCCTGGCTACAGCACATTCATGTCATCCTGTATGTGAATTACGCAGATGCAGAGCAAACACAGACTGCTGTATTGCAGAGATGAACAATCAGAGGAGAGCTGAGAGTCTGCAGGATTTCATTTCAAACAGGGTACAGCAGGTGCTTCCACTGATCAGTTCCCCCTCTCTGACTCTCAACCTGAAGTTGTTCTAATAAGTGAAATCATCTGGTGTAATCTTTGACTGGAATGAAAATAGGCGCCTGGTTTATTTATGCCATATGTGAATTTATAACTAGATATGCCAGTAATATTCACATTGTGTTTAAGAGAAAAGAAGCAGGAAATGAGACTGTCAGTTTCAGTGATGCAGGCGTTTCCCTGTAGTTATTTTTTGGAGAAGATAATGAACAGTTCCAGGCTTGGCACGACAGCATGTCAAGTGAGAAAGACTGTGGAACAGCAACACAAGCAACAGCTCGGTAAAGACAGGCTCCGCCGACTGCCTGTGTTGGACAGATGGAGGAAAGAAAGGGATCAAGAATTGATGTGACAGAGTGAAGATGTAGTGTGAGTCCAAGGAAATGAAATGACAGGCAAAGCAATATGAAGTGAGAATTAAAGAAAAGGTGTGGGAGATGATGTGACTATGCATTGTCACCAATAGGTGAGCAGGTTGTCATGGAGAGAGTTAGTTTTATACTGGAATTCAGTGCCCTACTTAATGAAATGGTAAAGGAAAACATACTGTTTTTAGTGTTCATACTGTGTGTTTGAAAAGCATATGGGATCTGTAATATTGTGGAGAGGTTGTGCTGCTTCCAGTGCATAGAAATCACCTTTTAGCCCTGTTGGTTGAATACAAATGGCTTCCGCTAGGCGGTTAAATTGTAAGAGTATGTGTCCCTGCCTGTGTCTGGAAAAATGCCTCTGATGTCAAGATCAGACTTTTTTCCCCCCAGTGTCCTAAATACACCAGGAGGTGAATATCCACTGGATAAAATCAGCACTGCTCATGTACATGTACCTGCGAAGATGTATAGATGATGTATGGACATTTTCCCCTGGTAACTGCAGCGGATGATAACTCCGTCTCGGTTAGACATTTTTATCAAGATGCCATGCAGATTTCAAGCCATCCATCATTTTTACATAACCTTACTTTTTTCTGGTCTAGTCTGGAGTCAGGGCCACTGTGGCATCACACTGCCATCCAGTGGACATATGGAGAAGCTGTTCAGTCTGGTGTGGATGTTTGTCCCGATGAATATGTCCAACTTTCTGCAAGTTATTCCATGACCAAAGTGCATAAGTAGGAAAGTGCTTTTCCCCCCAGATCTGTAAAAATATTTGAGGTACAATAGGCACAGATCATTGTAACATTAAGTAGCATTAAACACATGAATTGCATAGGACAGTTGTCAAAACAATAGAATACAGACCCTGGTATACAGTACAAACATTATCTGATGCTAAGCTCCAACTTCTCCAGCTGTAATATTCTGCCCTTGTGCTAAACCTCCTAGCTGCACAGACCTGTTTACCTACAAAAGCACCACAATCACAAGAGTAAGTGATACTTTCCTCTCCCGTGGCAGCTTCTTTTTTCTGGGGTAATCAATATCTGGTGTAAGTAAAAAATAGCTGTAACTGTACTGCAGTGGGGCACGTTGGTGGGAGCACTTACTGTACTGCGTTATTTCCTGTAGACTTTGTAATCACCTCTCCAGAGAGTTTTGAGTTTGGTTGGATAATGTCAAAATCTAAAAGCAAACAACACCTTGTTTGTTCCTTGTATTTGTGGTTACAGCAGTGCCCACATTCCCTGAGGACTTTTACGATCCATCTTTGTAGTCAGTGAAGGTTTCCATTACAGCAGTCACAGATGGCCGAGCAAGGGAGGATGGCCAGGCCGACTGTCGGAGCACCAGGCAACGGGGGACGGCTGAACAGCAGCGCACTCAAAGTCTTCAATACTTCTTACAGAGCTGCTTATGGTGAGAGAGTTCACGGTGAGGGCAAAATCTTATTTCACATGAAAGTATGTGGTTTCCAAATACACAGTGTTTATTATACTGAGATTAGGAGTTTGTCTGTTGCAGACTCAAGCAGGGTCAGCATCACTTCTTACCTCAGACGTCTTAGTAAGACAGGTTTCACAGCAAACCAGAGAATCATCCTCACTCTCCTGAAAACTCAGTGTTTTCACAGACTGATACCTGCAGCCTGGTTTTCACAGCCCTACGATCAGTTACCTCTATTATGATTGCATACAAGTGGCCATTATGAAGCGCTTCCTGGGAACTTACATTTTGTTTGGTTCTTATTGGGTCTTAAATCCTTGTAATCTCTTAATCCTTCACCTCAAGAGCCCTAACCTCTGATTTGAGCTTAGCACCATGCTGTATAGATTATTATTTTTGGTCCAGAGTAGAGTGTAGTCACTTTATGAGAAGGAGCATTCAAGTGTTTACTGTTAGTACTGAACTTGTACAGAAGTATTAGCATCAAAATAAAGCACCCAAAGGAGAAATCACTCATTAGGAGGAATAGCTTTTCACAGTGATGTATATAATATGACTGGATTATAATTATTGATGCATTATTGAGTACAATACATCACTTTAATGTTGTAGTCGGTAAAGATGGAGCTAATTTTAACTACCGTAAAGAAAATAAAAGGTAGAGAGAATACAGTGGGAAAAAGAAAATGGCTGTAGAAGAAGTTAATAACATTGCTTTTTCAAGATGGTGGAATATTGTCTGAACAAGTTCTGGTGGACTTTCTGTCTGAGAGAGTGGCCTCCACACTCCTCCCTGCCAGCTGTGAGTCAACATCTGCAGTCAGAATGAGGTTGCATGGATGGTAATGGTTGATGTCAGTGTTCATTCTTTATTAACTTAATGTCAGGACATTGTTTATATTTTTTTTATTTGACAGTTATTAATTGTTACTTTATGTTGTGACTTGCTGTTGTAGATATAAATGAATAAATTGACACTCAGTGGTCAGTTTATTAGGGACACCTGTCTCACACTTAATCAGTCTAACCCAGCAGTCCTTACTGATATACTAAATGGGCTGGACAAAATAAGAGATGATAGAGCCAGAAGCTTTTATTTGGATATAAGCTCACATGATATTTATCTTGTGAAATGTATTTGGGGAGGGGACTAAATTTGGGACTATGGTTGTTGGTTTGGGATGGTTAAAAGTAGGTTTCAGTATAGTGGGACACTCACAGAAAAGGTTCAGTTTGGGCCCTATCTCACCTCCTTCCTCTGCCCTGCAGCAAGGCTGCATTATTCCACCTTTTTTGTTTATTGTTTATAGACACCAATATAGCACCAGTATAAATGTTTAGAATACCTTTTGTTTATTTAAATGCTATTTATTGATTACAAACTAATAATACCCAAGAGTAACTTTAGGCTACTGTTACAGAAGTAGAAACACATAGGTTACAGTAGATGTTTGCACTTATTAGGCCTATTTATTGTTCATTTATACTTTTTTGCTGATGGGTTTGGTTTAGTTGAGTATTCATGGGCTGGTTGTAATAGGCTGGTCTGAGTAAAAGAGGCCAGAGCCATTTTTCAATTCCAGTCCAACCCTGAGCTGAGGTCTTTCTCAGAAGCCATTTAGACAAAAACAATGAGACTGGTTTTACTGCGGGGACAGAGCTTCAGTTTAACGCTTTTGAGGAGAAAAACAGCAGTTTGAAGGCACGGAAGCGATTCAGGGCTTTTCTTGTTGAGAAACGGGATTCATTCATGTTGCTGTTGCTCCTTTGGCCTGTCCAGTGAGTACTGACCCCTTCCCTGGCAGGCACAAAACATTGTCTTGGAGTTGCTCCAAAGCATATTGCACTTATAGTATTTCTTGCTGTAACATTAAGTAGCATTAAACACATGACCCATAGGACAGGTGTCAAAGAAATAAAGCACAGATCTTAATATGCAGTAGAAACACTGTGTGATATATAAGCACCCAACCATTCACTTTGGACTCCAGCTGTAATGTTCTGTCTTCGTGTGGAGTCTCCTAGCAACACAGACCTGTTTACCCACAAAACCATCACAAGACAGAGGTGAACAACCAACCTGGAGCTGCAGGTATGTCTCATGAGTAAGTGATGCTTTCTTCTCCTGTGGCAGCTTCTTTTTTCTGGGGTAATCAATATCTGGTGTAAGTAAAAAATAGCTGTAACTGTACTGCAGTGGGGCACGTTGGTGGGAGCACTTACTGTACTGCGTTATTTCCTGTAGACTTTGTAATCACCTCTCCAGAGAGTTTTGAGTTTGGTTGGATAATGTCAAAATCTAAAAGCAAACAACACCTTGTTTGTTCCTTGTATTTGTGGTTACAGCAGTGCCCACATTCCCTGAGGACTTTTACGATCCATCTTTGTAGTCAGTGAAAGTTTCCATTACAGCAGTCACAGATGGCCGAGCAAGGGAGGATGGCCAGGCCGACTGTCGGAGCACCAGGCAACAGGGGATGGCCGAGGAGCAGCGCACTCAGAGTTTACGATACTTCTTACAGAGCTGCTTATGGTGAGAGAGTTCACGGTGAGGGCGAAATCTTATTTCACATGAAAGTATGTGGTTTCCAAATACACAGTGTTTATTATACTGAGATTAGGAGTTTGTCTGTTGCAGACTCAAGCAGGGACAACATCACTTCTTACCTCGGACGTCTTAGTAAGACAGGTTTCACAGCAAA